TTACATTTCGATTGGCCAGCTGTCAGAAATATCAATCACTATGAATTTCTATAAAAGATAACATTTAAATGTACTAATCTGAACATTCAACTATAAGGAAAAAAAACAGGATTTCATTTTTTTTTTAAATGCCAAGAGTGTTAGATGCTTTTTTTAAAATTCTTTTGTGGACTCTTGGCAGAGAGACACGTTATCTGAAGAAAGCCAAGGACTAAAGAAGGGATGGTGAGTGCAGAAAAGTGCTCTCTTCCTCTGCAGTTTCCTGTTTGACTTTGGCAGCTCAGACCTCTGGCACAGCTCTCAGACACTGAGGATCTGAGGCCAGGAATCTCTGCCCAGATTTCTTCACAAGGCTATAAAACTATTCACTTCCAGAATACCCAGTTGGCTTTGGATAGCTGCACTGTTCCAGCGCGAGGGCAGGAAATCAAGGTCAATGCTTTTAGAGTTGTCTGTCATTAGAAACCATACAGGCACCTGTCTGCTGTTTGCTCCCATTCCATTCATATCTGGGCCTGCTCTCTTCTCTTACAAGGTGCTGGATTAGCATTTTAGTTTTAAACAAGTTACTGTGTTGGGATCTTTTGGATGCTAACCGAGGACTAAAAGAGGACACTTTGTTTTCCTTCTCAATAGAATCGTCTCGCGCGATTCCGGATTCGTGCGGAACAGAAAGGGAGAATTTGAGGATTTGTCCTGGAATGGATACTGGGGTATACGTGATGTGAGAGCCCACACATCTCTGATTTGTAATAACCCTCGGACATGTGTTCAAGGCCCAGACTTGAGACTTCCTAGACGGAATTGGGCGCTGTATAACTGCAGTGGGTTAGACTGCGCCCCTTCGGTCCAGCTGATTAAAGTGCCTTCGCCAGCACTCCCCCTGATCTGCTGCTGCAGGGTGACTGCTGCAGACCACATATGCAGGGGCTGTGGAATGAAAATCTGTCTAAAAGCAAGGCATTAGTAACCTCTGCCACTTCTCATAGCAGGTTCCTCTCTGGTTCTGTTCCCTCTCTACCTGAAGAAGATTCTACAGCCTGAAACGTTGCTCCTTTCCTTTACCTTTTAGCAGGGAATAAACCTTTACCTCTTCCTTTGCAGCCTACACATGCGGACGTGGCTCCCAACTCCTGCATCTTGTGCAGACAGAGGTCCTTAAATTGACCAAAGCTGTCCTGTTACTCCTATATTTCAGATAGTTTTTCTCTTTATCTCGGTTTCCCAAGCAGTTGTGCTCCTGAGCCTGATTTCTGCCTTTGTGTTTCTCTCAGGAGCTTTGGTTCCACAGTCCCGCTGTACTTGTTCACACCGTATTTTTTTATGGCGTCTGTTAAGCTTGACTCCTTTTCCTCGACGAGCCCCTTGGCGGTCCTTGTTCACCCGGAAGGAAAGCCCCTCCACAGGCCGCCCATGAGAAAGAGGTTTCCACTGTTCCAGGTTTGTGAGCGACCGGGCGGTTTGGTAAAGTATGTGACGGGAGTTTGGATGCCCAGGTCCTGGCCGTTTCCTCTTCATCCTCTCCTCCCGGCTGCGGGCATGAGGCTGTTCTCAGGCCGCTCTGCTGTTGCCTGCTTGTTCCCCTGTGGTTTGGCAGGCGAGACGGAGAGCTGGAGCCCAGGTGAGTGAATGCTTGTGGGCTCTGGAGAGCTGGAGCCCAGGTGAGTGAATGCTTGTGAGCTCTGGAGACCTGGAGCCCAGGTGA